CCCCCCCCACCTACCCACCCACACACACTCTGTAGCCAAATTTCCAAATGGTGTTGAATCATTTCTAAAGCTTAAATCTTAGTCTGAAGGAATTGTCCAACTTAGTATCATATCGGAGTTCATTGCCCTTCTTAAATAATTTAATGTAACAAAAAGTGTAAAAGATTACACTTTTTGGCTTGAGGATTACACATATTGCCTTGGTTTGATAGTGTGATAATGTTACTAACTTTAGTTGCCAGAATACTGTATTTAACTGCAGGCCCAATCCTCTTTCTATAAAATATAAATAGTTATATCTTCATTAGAGTGTAGTTGCAGAGTCATTTACAACTATAGTCAGACAAACTGCAATCTGTACCGAAGATTTCTAAATGTTTCTTAAAGCTTTATAATTTGAAAGAACTTCTGGCAGAGATAATAAATCTGAAATTCTTAGTACTTTTACTCCATATTTTGGTTTTGTAATTATCTTGATTATAAATTTATTACTTATTTATTTGTCTTAAAAGTGATAATAGCATGTAATCTGTAGGCTTGTCTTGCTTGTACCCTAATTAAATCATAGAATTTGAAGAGGTAACTTCGATTTTCTTTGCATAGAGAAAATCTCTCCTGGCTTTAGAGAAGGAAGAGGAAGAAGAGAGAAGTAAAACTATAGAGAGTTTGAAAACAGCACTGAGGACAAAACCAATGAGGTAATTCTTTTCTGGGTAGCATGTGCTACTTACCACTCTTCTTTTTTTCTTCTTTTCTCCCTTCTTTTCTACCCTTCTTTCTTCTTTTCTCCTGAAATAGCCAAACTTTCAAGGATGTCTTAAATGCATGCAATTGAACATAAGTGAAATACTTTAATCGTTGAACATTGAATGAATTGATTTTCTTCAATTAGAAGATATGCAGACAGCTGTTCAGATGGTAAAATCAAAAAAGAGACTAGCAAGTATTCGTTGCAGGTACACTGCTGGTGGGAATGTAAAATGGTTCAGCCACTTTGGAAAACAGTTGGGCAGTCTCTCATACTGTTAAACGTAGTATTGCTGTATCATCTGACAATTCTATTCCTCAGTATATAGCTAAGGGAAATGAAAACCTGTCTCACAAACACCCATGCAGGAGTGTTCATGTTAGCAGTATTCCTCGTGGCCAAAAAGTAGAAACAACCCAAATTCTATCAGCTCATAAATGGATAAATAGAATGTGATATATCCATACAATGGAATATTATTTGGCCCTGAATACAATAGAATATTGAAATAGAATAGAATATTGATACATGCTACAACATGGATGAGCCTTGAAAATATTTATGCAAAGCGAAAGAAGCCAGATATACAGAAGGCAACATAGTGTATGATTCCATTTATACGGAAGATCCAGAAAAGGCCAATCCATACAGACAGAAAGATTAGTGGTTGCTTAGGATTGGGGTGAGGGGGAAATGGTCTTTTGGGGATGACTAGAGTGTTCTAAAATCAGATGATGTCAGGGCGCCTGGGTGGCTCAGTCGGTTAAGTGTCCGACTTCAGCTCAGGTCATGACCTCGCAGTCTGTGAGTTTGAGCCCTGCATTGGGCTCTGTGCTGACAGCTCAGAGCCTGGAGCCTGCTTCAGATTCTGTGTCTCCTTCTCTATCTGCCCCTCCCTTGCTCATGCTCTGTCTCTCTCTCTCTCTCTCTCTCACTCTCAAAAATAAACAAACATTGTGGTGCCTGGGTGGCTTAGTTGGTTAAGTGTCTGACTTCAGCTCAGGTCATGATCTCACAGTTTGTGGGTTCCAGCCCCACATCAGGCTCTGTGCTGACAGCTCAGAGCCTGGAGCCTGCTTCTCAGATTCTGGGTCTCCCTCTCACTCTCTGCCCCTCCCTGCTCGTGCTCTCTTTCTCTCTCTCAAAAATAAGTAAACTTAAACAAAAATTTTAAATAAATAAACATTAAAAAAAAATTGGGGGGAATGCCTGGGTGGCTCAATTGGTTAAGCATCTGACTTCAACTCAGGTCATGATCTCATGGTTCATAAATTCAAGCCCCTCATCGGGCTCTCTGCTGACAGCTCAGAGCCTAGAGCCTGCTTCGAATTCTGTGTGTGTCTCTCTCTCTCTGTTCCTCCTCTACTTGCACTCTGTCTCTCTCTCTCTCTCAAAAATAAATAAAGACTAAAAAAATTTTTTTTAATTTTTTAATCAGATGATGTCAATGGTTGTACATCTCTGCATATCACTGAATTGTACATTTGAAAGTATGAATTTTATGGCTTGTGAGTTATATCTCAATAAAACTGTTAATAAAAAATGATGGGGGCACCTGGGTGGCTCAGTCAGTTAAGCGTCTGACTTCAGCTCAGGTCATGATCTCACAGGTTTGTAAGTTCCAGCCCTGTGTCAGGCTCTGTGCTGACAACTCAGAGCCTGGAGCCTGCTTCAGATTCTGTGTCTCCCTCTCTCTGTGCCCCTCCCCTATTCTCGCTCTGTCTCTCTCTCTCTCAAAAATAAATAAAAATTAAAAAAAAAAAAACAAAAAAAAACCATGATAAGTAGTCAGCCTTCTCTGTGTGTCTCCCACGCCTTCATTTTCCATTAATTAGGTTTGGTGAGATGTTGGGGTGCTTCTAGTTACATTTCATTAACATAGGTGCTATGAAAGAAGCCAATTGATTCAACCAATTGGGCTCCATCTGGGTTGTGTGATTGCATGAAATGGCTGGAAAAATAAAGATTTCATTTTCTTTATTTAACTATAAAATATTAAGAAAAACCTATTGACTTATCAAAAATTCTGTGTAGTTGTGTGACACAGGTTTTCTAGCCTGTCCTAACTACATCAATGTTTCCCTATTTGTGTGTGTTTTGCATTCTCAGATGTTAATGGGTATCCAAGGCAAAATAAATTTGGAAATTTCTGGTGCAGTCGTATAAGCAAGTTGTGTTACTTCTGAAATTTTCAGAGACTTCAAATGCATGTGCATATTGTGAATTATTCTCACTGACTTTACAGTAAATAAGCACTATAGATGTCAATTAAATTAATGAGCAGTGACAAAGAATTGCTATTATTTTATATATTGGGATTCCAGCAGCATGTCCTACAAAAGAAGAGTTTTGCTGCAGAATGTTAATAATATAGATTGTCATCTGTTTGACAAGCAAAAATTCTAGAATTTAAGGATGCTCTTTGACATTCATTGATATGGGTCGGGTTAACGTAAAGGTATCTAGGGGCTGAATGCTATAACAACGCGGGATCAGCAGATGACTTTAACTTAAGACACATATTCTGAGTGTCTTCCTGTTCCTGAGTTTCTATGGTTGTATGATCTGTTAATTGGTTCTTTGTATTAGCTGAGATCTTTGTATCTCAAATAGAGATTATTTTACCTTTCTGAGAGACCTGACCATTGGGTTTGTGCAGAGGAAGAGGCCAGGAATTAAGAAGACTTCATCAGCGTAGATCTTTGGTGCTCAGGACTTATGTCTTCCTTCCTCCTGTCCCTGCAAAACTTTTCCATTAAGGGCTATTAGAAAATTCCAAATAAACTTAAGTCTGATACATTTTAACCTTCTTCTCCTGACAGGTTTGTAACCAGATTCATTGACTTGGATGGCCTGTCATGTATTCTCAACTTTCTAAAGACCATGGACTACGAGACCTCAGAGTCTCGAATACATACCTCTCTCATTGGTTGTATAAAGGCGCTAATGAACAACTCTCAAGGCCGGGCTCATGTCCTGGCTCACTCTGAGAGTATAAACGTGATTGCTCAGAGTCTGAGCACAGAGAACATTAAAACAAAGGTGGCCGTGCTGGAAATCTTGGGCGCCGTGTGCCTGGTTCCCGGGGGTCACAAGAAGGTTCTGCAGGCCATGCTGCACTACCAGAAGTATGCCAGTGAAAGAACCCGCTTTCAGGTGGGCATGCTCCCTTGCCACTTGGTCACTCACCCCTTTTGACAGCTGCCTTCCTGGCCCTGAAGGGGGAACATGACTTACTTCCCCCTGTGATGATTACTCACACTATGTCTTCCAGTCTTTCTGTCCTTTTGGGTTTTAGTACCAGAGTAGAAGATGCTTTCTATAGTTAATCAACCTGGGATTTTAGATTTACTGAACTTGAAAATGTGGCCCTGCTTTCTACACATCATGTAGCATATATCTTTTGATTCCATGAAATGCAGTGTTCCCTGAAATTTTTATAGGTTACCATTCTTGATTTAGTATTAATATATACAGTGGGATTATGTCACCATATTTATGCTCAAATATAAAGAGCTGAGTTGACAAAGCAGACAAAATATGTATTTTGTGTGTGTGTGTGTGTGTGTGTGTGTGTGTGTGTGTATACACACACACATACATACATACATATATGGATGTATGTGATGTAGGAATTTTGAAAGTTTTTTGAACTAATTTTAAGAAAAATAAAAGATGGCTTTCTATAGATCCATGTAATTCTGACTAAACACAAGATTTTTAAAAATTGACTTCTGAGTATAAGGATTAATAAAATGAATGTACAATTAGTGATTCAGTCCTTTGTTTCTATATTTGTGTCCTTGGTAGACATTAATCAATGACTTGGATAAAAGCACAGGGCGGTATCGAGATGAAGTGAGTCTCAAGACTGCCATCATGTCCTTCATCAACGCAGTGCTGAGCCAAGGCGCTGGGGTGGTAAGAACCTTCCATACTGCTATTGAAAACATGTATTATTGAAGAATAATGTTAAAAAAAAAAAAAGATTACTATGTAGTCCAAAAAGCATAAATATGTATTTTATCACCCTTTCACTTTCAGGAAAGTTTGGACTTTAGACTTCATCTTCGCTATGAATTTCTGATGTTAGGAATTCAACCTGTAATAGATAAATTAAGGGAACATGAAAATTCAACATTAGATAGGTAAGTCAGACTGTTCTCATCTGAGATCATTCTCAAGCTTTTTCCGTATGTGTAGTGCTAGCCTGTGAACTACATGTGACCTTTGTGTAGCATACGGAGCTGGCCCCAGACTGTTAGTTCAACTATGATGCTTTTATATTAAGACTTTCTCCATGAAGGAAGCAGCACATTGTGTGGAGAACCTCATGTGGGTTCTGGCATCAGGCTGAATCCACATTCTTGTCTTACCTCTTTCACTTGCTATATATTCTGGTCAAGTTACTCAATCTTTCTGAATCTTCCTGTTGTGTTTTTTTTTTTTTTTTCCTAAGATATATGATGATGATGATGACAACTATGTTTTATGGGCTATTATGAAAATTGACTATAAAACTTGGAGGCACCTTGATAGGCATTAGTTAATTTTCACTTTCTTGTTCATTTGCTCTTGTTTGCAATCATTTTACCATTTCTAAGATCTCCCACCAGCTCTCAGATCTCTCCTACTGCTCTCCTACCTCGTTCATGCACTCTTTGATATTCTGTGAACATGTCAAAATATTCTTGCCTCAGGGCCTTTGTACTTGGTATTTGCTCAGCATTAAAAGATCTTCCTACAGATGTCCAAATTGCTTATTGCTCCCTTCCAAGAGACCTGTTCCAGCCAGTGTGTGTCCACCACTCACCTTACCTCCCATTATTCTTTATTCCCTTTACTCTGATACGTTGGTCTTCATAAAACTTATTATCCCCAGTTGCTAAAATACAGAGTAGGGACTCCATAAATATTTGAATGAATAGGTGAATGGCATGAATATTTCTTTGGTGATCTTAATTCATCAGTCAGGCAAGTGGATTTGCTTTTTCCATAAAAGAAGTCTGTGAGCAGAAGCTGGACTTGGTTGTGTTGGAATTTGATAAACATTTATTAATTATCTAATGTGTACTAGGCATCCTAGGCTTTGAAGCTTGTCTCTTACTGTGATCTCACTCAGAGTATCTTTTTTCCTTAGAACATAGTTAAGCAAAGGCATTCACAATTTTGTCTTATTTCTTTTAGAGCTATCTCTGACAATTTAGGAAAGGCCTTAGTATTAATGTCCTAATTCCTATGTGCTTGTGTTTGTAGGACATTCTACTTTTAATAGCTTCTCTTTTATTGGATTTCAGGCATTTAGATTTTTTCGAAATGCTCAGAAATGAAGATGAACTAGAATTTGCCAAAAGATTTGAACTGGTACGTATGGTCACAATTAATCAGATTTAACTCATGAACTCATGGACTTCCCTTGCCGTAACGTGTGTTGAGTTGACATGGACCGGTACAACCGAAAAGCAAAATCCGGGTTTTGTTTTGCTACCTAAGTGGCAGGATTAGCCGTGCGTGCCTTGGATTTGCTTACCTTGCGTTGCAGCTATTGAGGATACCGGGTGTTGACTTAGATCTCTTTTTCATACGGAATAGGTTCACATAGACACAAAAAGTGCGACTCAGATGTTTGAGCTGACCAGGAAGAGGCTGACCCATAGTGAAGCTTACCCTCACTTCATGTCCATCCTGCACCACTGCCTCCAAATGCCTTGTGAGTGTGTTTGTGACTTACATGTGTGTTTTTGAATGTTTGGACATCATCCAAAGGGCTCTGTCTTCTGAGCAGCGCTGATTAGCCTGGGTGCACACCAGGGATTCCAAACCTTGCTTTTGTGACAGTCCAACGTGTCTCCACACAGCTTAAGGGGTATTATGACATTCTAAAAATGAAATGAATTATAACTTACTTTGATTTTAAAAATAAATATATGCCTTGCAACACATTTAGAAAGGGGTAGAAAGTGCCTCTCAATCATGTAAATGATCATCGCATGTCAGAATTCCAGAAACTTTGGGAAGTGCTGGTGCAGATGTTATAAACATCTCTGGTTCTGTGGCTCTGGCGGGTGACCGCTGTTGAAACATATTCATCCTAGTTTAGAAACAACATGAAGTATTTTTCCACCCTTCTTTTCTTTTTTAGACAAGAGAAGCGGCAACACCGTTCAGTACTGGCTGCTACTAGATAGGATTATACAGCAGATAGTTATTCAGAATGACAAAGGACAGGACCCTGACACCACGCCTTTGGAAAACTTTAACATTAAGAATGTCGTACGAATGTAAGTTTCTGATTTTGCTGTCTGTGAGATGATAGTCACAATGTAAGACGTTTACTTTATCCTACTTTAAAATAGCCGCTGGGAGAACCGAAATGTTCTAGAGGTCAAATATGAGCGCCTATATATACATATGTAATGTATCTGAGTAGCATCTGGGTTTAAATGGGTTTCAAGCATGCTGAGGATTTTTCTGCAGAGGACTATTTTTGTACCTAGAAGAGCATGCATTTTGGCAACGGGCCTTTTATGTTTTTGTAATGAATGCTCTTTTGACTATCATACAGGTTGGTCAATGAAAATGAAGTTAAGCAGTGGAAAGAACAAGCAGAAAAAATGAGAAAAGGTAAATAGTGAGGACCCGATGAGAGAAACGGCCGCGTATTTGGTTATTGGGCAACTCTGCTTTCTGTATATTTTAGAAGCTTGCACTGATATTTCTTACTGACTTGAATGCATCCAACAGCCTTTCTTTTTCTGTGTCTTAAGGGCATTTTGCCCTGTTTTCTCTCGAATTCAGCTATTTTAATTGTCATGCTGATTGCCAAATATTTTATCCTTTTATTATAATTATGTAAATTTTTGTTGAAAAGCTTGTAGCATTTGCTGTTTGGCATTCATTAACTCAAATTTTCTTAACTACCACTCATGCCAGCCCTCCCCCCACTCTGTAACTGCTCTTTAAAGCACACTAGGTTTTAAGGGGGACTACCCAGAATTTTAACAGAAACCCAGGCCACCTGGTTTCAGCAGCCCAATTCTCCACATGACCTTAGTTTGGCACCCGTTATAAAAAGAGAAATCATATAGAAAATCACCGATCATTGTAGATACAGGCATTATGAGACGTAACTAGGCCAGCTCTTGGTGAGTACTGGAGCATGTCTTTGGTCTTAACACTCAGCGTCAAATGATAGGAGAGTCATTTGTACCCATCACTGTGCCAGCCACTCAGAATGGATAGAAGTCACCCTCTCCCTTCCAAATGCTTGCAACTTGAAATCGGCCGTCTTATGAAAACAGTCCTGTTCCCGGCCTCTGCTCTTTCGCTCTGCTGGCCAACTGACTTCCTTTTCCTTGTCCAACTTACTTAGTCACAGCCAGTGACACACAATAGCACTCACCCCCGATATTTAGTGCATTGAAAAGAGGGTCTAAGAGATGCCAAAGTATTTCCTTTTCCCTCATCACATTTGTCCTTTTCCGTGGAGCAGAAAAGCAGGGCCACCACTGGTAGCAGAAAATACCAGACACGCGGTGCACCTATATTAGAAGTCCCATATATGAATTCAGATTGCTCTCACACAGGTGAGGTTGCTGTATACGGTTTTATAAATAGATTCCAGAAGCTGCTGTAGAAAGAATAGAAACACTGACCAAAAGTTGGGGTGAAGAGAGGTGATACCGAAGAGAAAATGGTCAGGTGATACTTTAGGGGCAAACGTAGAGCACAGGGATGTGGGTGTGCAAGCTAAGGCGCGCACCCAGGACAGAAGCTTTGGAGTCATTCAGGCGGTCACTCAGTGCAGGCTTGTTGAACGCCTGTATGTGTCAGGCCCTGCACTGGGCTCTGGGTCTGAGTCTCAACTCCATTCCTCACTGACTGCATGCGTAGGCATGCAGACTCCTCTTCTCCACCCTCCCCTTCTATAAGCTGAAGATTATATCTAACTTGCAGGGCTGTTGCAAAGATTAAAGGACAAAACAAATATAAGGACTTTAACATAGTGCCATATTGATTGCACTATAAATGATAGGGACTATGGTAGATTTAGGCGGCTGAGGTGGGATGAGAAATAATGGCCAAGGTCAGTGGGCGGAACAGGATGGTTTAACATGAGGTCACAGGTGGAGTGTAAAAGAGGAGATAATGTAGATAAAATTAATTCTTTTCTGAAGTCTTCAAGTAGCAAGGCTGTATCAAAAAGGGCACACGATGATGAATCGGAGGGTGGAGGCTGTGAGGAGATGGGAGTCCTCTGGCCCTGAAAGGTGGAGAATTCTCTTTACTATGGCATAGTCAGTAGTAAGCGTTCAAGAAGATCTTAGCAAATGGATGGTAAATGAACGCCTTTGTAGGGAGAATCCTTTAGCCTGCAGCTTCCCAAACCTGGCATTACATCAGAATCATCTAAGGAACGTTTGAAAACAAATCCCTAAGCCCTGTCCCTGACCTGTAGAAGACATTCCCAGAAGTGGGGTACGGGGCTCCTGAAATGTTAAAATCTCTGAGGTGGTTCTGAGGCACAGCAGGATTTGTCAAAGCTTAATGACCGGTCGTAAGAGTCTCAAGTCTTCGAATTGTGAAAGAAGAATGACGTGGAGACAGAAGAAGGAAAATGGGATACAGTGAGGTGGGTTTCAGACGCATCGCGGAAGAAGTCAGGGATGCATTCATTCACAGAATGAATAGTGGTCACCTTAACTTCAAGACTGGTAGAATTCAAGGCTTTCAATGGTGTGAACTCTTCTCTGCAAACTCAGGAAAGAAAAAGTAAGAGATGGAGAGAGCGAGAATTTAAATGTGTTATCAGATTCAGAAATAGAGACCAATTCTGTGTAGCTCAGCCTCAGTGGGTTATATCTCCCGTGGGTTTACTTTATGAAAAGAGTAGGAATTGGGGCCAAGTATTTGAAATAAAAACCTGCAGCCTCAACTTCATTAGTCCTCTTTCCCAAAGCTCCTCACTCCCGCAAGGGCTGGAGTCAGCAGGCATATTGGCAATGTAAGTAAACATTGGGCTCCATTGGATGCCTCGTTCCATTATAGCAGGATTGGGAAGTTAGTAAAACTACAGCTGAGAGCTAATATTTTTCTCCCCATATTGTGGCGATTGTCATGCTCTGCCCTTAAAGTCTTTAATGCTGAGAATCTGATAGCATTTGCTTTCACAAGTTTTAAGGACTATTTGCCAGAAGCATAAAATACTTCAAGTCCAGGTAGCCTTCCGAGAGGAGAATGGGAGAGAGGACTCGGTGTCGGGACAGAGGGACAGACGGGGTCTGGCATCAGCATATTCCCCAGGGAGCAAGATCCTCCCTCTCAGCCCTCTGCTGGTTGGACACAAGCCAGCAACCTGGCTAACAAACAATGGCTTCTCTGGTTCTCATTTCTAATTTGTCAAAAGAAGCCTTTTTAATATTCATTTTCCCTAGTGTGGCCGAAGGGCCATTTTTATGACAGGATCCTGAATTAAATACCAAACGGGCACCATTATCCTCCACAAATAGGTGCTCACCCTTGTGTTCCATCTTCAGGACTGTGACTTCAGGGTCTCTTCTTCAGTATTTTACAAGATGTAGTTAACCATAACGTTGTTCACCTAAAGACCCCTCCAAGCACGAACACCACTGAGTCCACAAGTCGTTCCCTCTGACGGAGGAGAGGAATAATATTTACCTAATGAAGAGCCTCACATCATCCTCAGCCAGTTTTCTGTTTAGAGAAAAACACTTCAGCTTTGAAGAGTCCCCTGTTTTCACGTCCCGTTGTTTTCTTGTGTAGAGCACAATGAGTTGCAACAGAAATTGGAAAAGAAAGAGCGCGAATGTGATGCCAAGACCCAAGAGAAGGAGGAGATGATGCAGACCTTAAATAAAATGAAAGAGAAGCTCGAAAAGGAGACTAGCGAGCATAAGCAAGTCAAGCAGCAGGTGGCGGATCTCACAGCACAGCTCCACGAGCTGAACAGGGTGAGGGCCGGGGCCACGGGCCGGGTCTTCGTTTCTGAGCAGCTGCTGGGCCTCGCTTACCCTGGAGCCCCTCTACCTTAGGCAGACAGCTTCTGCCTGGGTATCCCAAGGTGATCTATCCCAGTGGTTTTAAGACTTCCTCCCTCTGCCATCGTGTAAGTCAGGCAGCAGAGGGGGGTTGGGGGTGTGTGTATTTAAATAAATGCAGATTCTCTAATAAGATCAAAGGAGATAACATTTTTTTTTTAAAGTTTTATTTATTTACTTTGAGAGAGAGAGAATCCCAAGCAGGCTCCGTGCTGTCAGCATAGATCCCGACATAGGACTCGAACTCACCAACTGTGAGATCATGACTGGAGCCGAAATCAAAAGTCAGACGCTTGACCAACTGAGCCACCCAGGCACCCCCACGTTAACTTCTTAAAATGAAAACTGATTTCATGAAAACCAAACTCGGATGCTATAAGTAGTGAGGGATACGTGAGTGCTATGCAGACAAGCACTAATGTGCCACATATAAAGGGCTGACTCAGTAGTCCATGAAGACCCTAAAGCCCATTTGATTTATTGCTCCTTTTAAACCCATCTTCTCAGAAATGTGAATTTCTCTGTAACATACGTTTTAGGCAAAGTTTCAGACTCCGAATCATCCAGTGAATTTACTTCTTCCACTGACCTTCTCTTTTCCTATTTTTACCTTTTCAGAGAGCTGTCTGTGCTTCGATCCCAGGTGGACCCTCCCCTGGAGCCCCAGGGGGGCCCTTTCCTTCCTCTGTCCCAGGGTCCCTCCTCCCCCCACCACCACCTCCACCCCTGCCAGGTGGAATGCTTCCTCCTCCACCCCCTCCCCTTCCTCCAGGCGGCCCTCCTCCTCCCCCAGGGCCTCCTCCCTTAGGGGGGATCATGCCACCTCCTGGTGCTCCACTGGGTCTGGCACTCAAGAAGAAAAACATTCCTCAGCCCACAAATGCCCTGAAATCCTTCAACTGGTCTAAGCTGCCTGAGGTAAGCCATTTGTTCTGATTTTCCCTCTAATGGATAACATTAGCAGCTCACCGTGCTGTCACTGAAAAGGCAAACAGCCCTGACTGTTAAGTGATTTCATTTTCTTAGTATGGACTCGGGTTCTCACTAGCTCTGATACTTCAAGTGTTCAAGCTGAAATAAATGACATGTTGTTTGAAGCCAGACCACTTTGAGCATCTGGTAGAATGAAGAATTGGGGGTGGCAGCACTTTTTAAAAAAATAACCACGTCTGTTCTTTTTGTATATAACCATAAACTCTAGTATTTATTACTTATTAACTTGATGTTTGCAGAATAAACTGGAAGGAACAGTATGGACCGAAATTGATGATACAAAAGTCTTCAAAATTCTAGACCTCGAAGACCTGGAGAGAACATTCTCTGCCTACCAAAGACAGCAGGTAACACTGTGTGCTCTCCAGATGAGACAAAAATAAGAAGTCCTGTCCTCACGCATGGTCCCCGTGCTATCTGCCATGCCATGAGGTGATGGGCGTCTTGGTTTGAGGCTGTCTGGTCTACCCTGCTCTGTCCCTGCAAAGCAGCATGGTGTGCGTGTGTTCACATGTGTGTCTAAGTGCCTGTCCGTGTATGTGTGTGAACGTGTTGAAGCTGCTTGTTAACTTCATACCCTGGTGTGTGTCCAAGACCTTATCTGCATTGGTGGAAGGGGTTTTGTATGTTAATATCTCTTGTGCTTGGTCCAAATGGGTCACCAGGAGCAAATATTAGTAGGAGAGCTGCCTAACTTGTAATTGTCGCAGGGTTCGTTTCTTAAGCCATTTTAGTTTATCTGACTTTTAAAAATCTATATATCCGTTGGTTATAATCAGAAATGAACTGCTTTTTGAAATAGATGGAACCTTTAGACATACAAGGGTTTGTAAATAACAATGATTTGACAGTTAACCAGAACCTTAGAAGTTTTTACTATATGTCACGAACACGGTCAACTCAGAAGTGGGCCTGGGAAGGCTGAGCAATTTGGAGGATGGCACTGACAGAAAAAGGACCAGAGAAGCTTCTGAAACAGGAGCCAAACTTTTGTGACGCTAGTGGGAAACGTGTGATTTGATGCTCGTTGGCTATCCATGTTGACATAGCCAGCGAATCAACTTTATGCCATACACTCCAGTCACATCTGATGGTACCTCTCACTTCTTGAGAGGACATGTTAGGAGATCCTCCTAAGGGTGGACCAGAAAAGATCACAACAAAGATCCCAAGCAGACAGTCAGAGACGTAGGAAGGGAAACGTGGTGTCCTGGAGTGAGAGAAGAAAGATTCTTCAGGATGACTGAGAGAGATGATGGAGAGAGCAGAGTGCATCTTACTAGGAACACAAGCATGCCAGGCATCTGCATGGGGGCTTTTCTTGGGCTTTACTGGGAGCCCTTTATCTCCTACGTGAATCATGTGCCGGCTGGAGCATCCTCAGAGCAGCTGCAGACTGGTTCCCAAGAAAGGGTGTCTCAGAACAGAACTACCAACCATCGAGGGAGAAGATGGACTGAGGCTGGGGAGAAACCGAAACTGTGACAGGTTTTTATTTTAAAACCTTTGATACATCTGAAACTGAAAAAGTAGTATGTCTTTTAGCCAGAATATTTTCACTCAGAGGGAAAGCTTCTCTGCATTGTATTCTGTGCTATTTTAGTAAAGTACAAAAATGCTGGTCGTTGTCTGCCATGGTAGCATGAACCTAAAACAGGAGCCCTCAGCTGGGGCCCCTCCATAAGTATGAAGGAAAACTTGTGCAGTGCTGTACCCACAAAATAAAGGAAAATGAAGGGGAAAAAAGATAATGTCCAGTAGAAAGCAAGACACTTTATCTTTCAAGGGACAAACGAAGGGTATGTTTAGGGCCCTCATATGGCAGGTGCTTGGACCAGACTCATTCCTGATTGGCTGCAATGGACCTCCTCTCTCGGTCTCTTTGCTGCTGACCTAGGAAGGTGTTCTCTGGGCCTTGACATGAAGTCGTAGGACATTTTAGCAAATTTCCTGGTAGATTCAGTAATCTTCTGACCTCATTACACATCCAATTGATTTCCCACTTCAGTTTCAGTCACTAATTCTGGTCCATTCTGTTTGCCTAAGGTGAAGGTTTGGGAGCTTAGAAAAGTAAAGTAGAAAAGTAAAGTAAGTAGAAAAGTAAATTAAAGGGGTGCCTGGGTGGCTCAGTTGGTTAAGCATCCGACTTCAGCTCAGGTCATGATCTCACAGTCCGTAGAGTTCAAGCCCTGTGTCGGGCTCCGTGCTGACAGCTCAGAGCCTGGAGCCTGCTTTAGATTCTGTGTCTCCCTCTCTCTCTATGCCCCTCCCCTGCCTACACTCTGTCTCTGTCAAAAATAAAATAAAAACATAACAAAATTTTTTTTTTTAAAGTAAATTAAAGAAAGGGAAAACAGCAGTCAATTCCAAATGATGTTATTCAAGTCTGAGCATGTGGGTTGCGTTGATCATGAAGGCAGGTGGTTAAAAGACCCGACTTTACAAGACTCATAATTAACTGGCTTTCAGCAGAAGGTGCAGAAGGATGCTGCCAAAATGCTCTGGGACAAATATGTGGACAGTTCTCAAGAGCTCTGGGAGACAGGGTTGCAGAAAGCCTTGCAATTGGGTAATTGTCTCCTAGCAACCGATCCCTGTTTAAGTAATCAGTAGTCATTCCAGTCAGTGTAGACCAGAACATATCAGTTGTACTTAACGCTAAGGAGACGGGTAGATTCATTTGTGACATTTTAATGGCACTTTCTGGAAAAAGATTTCAACACACTTGGCTCAGCTTGATTGAAGTAGGTTTCCCCTCTTGGCGCACAAATTTGAGATGAGATTTTTAAACCATAGATATATTTCCCAAATGAAGGTAATTGTATCCATTTTATTGAGTTCATTGAATGTTGAGAGACCAAAAAAAAAAAAAAAAAAA